GGGTCTTAGGTTATCTTGTCACTCCCTGCAGGCACCAACCTGATACAGTGATACACTAAACACATGATTAACAGCTGAGAGATTTACAGCTTTTAAACAGCTCCAGGGGATGTGTATCTGATGTAGGAGAGAAATGGCTATGCCATGAAGAATTATTTTCTGATTTGTTTCAACCATATCCAAGAAAAATCAACAAATTTTATCCTACATTTCACAAATTGGTAGCGTTTTGCCAAGAAATACACATGGCAACAATTCTGATTTTTGCTATCAAAGTAGACAGTGCAGGGAAAGTTTAACTGATGTTTCATAAAGTATGATGTGGAAAACATACTTCACTACAATTAAACTCTGATTTGGAAAATATATTATTTATATTTAGTTTGACCAAAAGCCTTATATATACAATGTAGAACTAAAAGGAGAAATGTAGTATTTTAGCTACCGTATTTTATCGTATTTCATTTGTGACAGAATCTAACCCCAAAATATGTAAAAACTTTTGGAATTTCTTAATTGGTCTTTGAACCTTTTCAATACCCCAAGTTCATATCATTTAAACTTTATTTATGTGTTTATATATTAAATTTCACACTGCTGTTAAAATAGATGTGTCACTCCTGTGTTATAATTAGATTGCATCTTATGTTTCAGCAATATGACAAACAGAAATTCATTCTACTAAAGCAACACCATACCCCTGTGTTATAATATAAGTCAACTGTTGATAGCTGCATACCCTGAGCATACCAGTCTACACTGGCCTCTAACTAGGGTAGGATAGATCAATCTTTATATTTAGTTTGGCACCCAATTTTCATTAAAGGCATAAATCTTTCAAACAAAACCAAGCTGAAAATCTTTGAGTTAATGAGCACATTGGAGCCATAGTTGGGAAAACTGTCATTGTATTGGACAATGACTGACTCTTATTGACTTGAAAAATTGTTTTTCAGTGATTTAGAGAGTGCCACTAGATATTCAAACACCTTGATTTTATTTAATAAAAGTGATTTAAGAGGTTACATACATTCAAACTGTATGATTGAACACATTTATAACCTCAAAGTAATGTTGTATTTTGGAGGTATTCTCGCAAGAGGTTAAATTTACATTTAGTAAATAAGTAACAGATCTTTGAAGTGTTTTACTTATTGAGATGTTCCACTTTAAGAGTGTTCCACTTAGAGAGGTGTTCTATTAAGAGAGACGTTTCACTTAGAGAGGTGTTCTATTAAGAGAGGCGTTTCACTTAGAGAGGTGTTCTATTAAGAGAGGCGTTTCACTTAGAGAGGTGTTCTATTAAGAGAGGCGTTTCACTTAGAGAGGTGTTCTATTAAGAGAGGCGTTTCACTTAGAGAGGTGTTCTATTAAGAGAGGCGTTCCACTTAGAAAGGTGTTCTATAAGAGAGGCGTTTCACTTAGAGAGGTGTTCTATTAAGAGAGGCGTTTCACTTAGAGAGGTGTTCTATTAAGAGAGGCGTTTCACTTAGAGAGGTGTTCTATTAAGAGAGGCGTTTCACTTAGAGAGGTGTTCTATTAAGAGAGGCGTTCCACTTAGAAAGGTGTTCTATAAGAGAGGCGTTTCACTTATGGAGATGTTGCACTGAGAGGTGTTCCACTTTACAAGTTTCACTATATTAATAGTAGATGGTATAATATTTCACAAACCAGCATCAACAAATATTACATTAAAAGTCTAAAATATTAGCATATATAATTAAGACCAGAGTGAATAACTGGACAAATAAGAAAGCTGCCAAGAATGCATGAGAATTCCTCCTCCTGAATAAAATTTCAGAACAAGAATGAAAGTTCCCTGAATTATAATCTAAAGAATGAATCATCATAAAATAACTTCAAGAGACATGCCGTTTATATATATTCTTAACAACACAAGAATATACAAAAATCTGAAATCTGAATTTGTAGTGTATATGATAAAAAATAAATGTCCTGAATTAGTATTGAAACACAGGTTTTAGACAACAAGAGAACAAACAACATATTTGTCTAATGGTTTAACCTACTGGTCCATGTTTGATGCTAATCCTTTTACAATGTGCAACCTGGTAACTCTCCATAAAATGCTCACAACATAGTGAAGTTCTATTTCAAGTGATCGCGTTTGCTTGACAAAATCAATTTGACCTTCAAAATTGTGAAAATTCCTATGCACATGTTATATTGACAATTTTGTGGCATGGCAAGATTGATGATGTGTGATCTTTATTAATATTAATGAATGATACTGAAATTATATGTGTATTTAGGAAAGTTATGATCAAATTAGCGCAAACTTTTGATGAATGATGAACTGGAACATAATTTTACATTGTAAATGACCCAAAATTGAGAAATGGTCTACATCAAAATGAAAACATCTAATTTACAAGAACACAAACGTGTACAATATGTCCCCACCAAGTGGTGATCCCGTGAAATGGTTATCCTGAAAATGAGTAGACAAGACTTTACCAACACAATTTGAGGACGGAAAATCCAAAGTGGCCACCTTAAAATTTACCCAGAATGCCAAAAATTTAGTCAGTTCTAGATTTTCATACTAAGAACCACCCCTGAAAATTTGAAATTGATCCGTCACACAGTTAACCAGAAAACATGTAAACAAGACTTTACAGACAAGATTTCAGGATGGAAAATCCAAAATGGCTGCCTTGACATTTACCCAGAATGTCAAAAAACTAATCTGTTTGTAGATTTTCATACTAAGAATCATCCCTGAAAATATGAAATTGATCTACCAAACGGTTCACCCGAAAACGGGTGGACAAGACTTTACAGACAAGATTTTAGGACAGAAAATCCAAAATGGCTGCCTTAACATTTACACAGAATGCAAAAAAACTAATCAGATGTAGATTTTCATATGAAGAATCATCCCTGAAAATTTGAAATTGATCTATCAAACCGTTCACCTAAGAACGCGTAGACAAGACTTTACAGGCAAGATTTTAAGACGGAAAATCCAAAATGGCTGCCTTGACATTTACCCAGAATGCAAAAAAACTAATCAGTTCTAGATTTTCATACTAAGAATCATTCCTGAAAATTTGAAATTGATCTACCATACAGTTCACCTGAAAACGAGTAGACAAGACTTTACAGACAAGATTTTAGGACGGAAAATCCAAAATGGCTGCCTTGACATTTACCCAGAATGCCAAAAAACTAATGAGATCTAGATTTTTATACTAAAAATGATCCCTGAAAATTTGAAATTGATCCACCAAATGGTTCACCTGAAAACGCGCAGACAAGACTTCACAGACAAGATTTTAGGACGGAAAATCCAAAATGGCTGCCTTGGCATTTACCCAGAATGCCAAAAAACTAATGAGATCTAGATTTTTATACTAAGAATCATCCCTGAAAATTTGAAATTGATCCACCAAACGGTTCACCTGAAAACGCGCAGACAAGACTTCACAGACAAGATTTTAGGACCGAAAAATCCAAAATGGCCGACAATAAAAAAGTCCTTATGAGTTTTTGCTGATTTCTTTTTACAAAATTATCACATATAACTACTGTTAACAATAAAGTAGGCTTTTACAACAAAGTGCATCTGAAATTATTTATAAAGCTACTAAATAGTTAAAGTATGAAAACTCAAAAACACCATTCAATATGATACAAAGTATTATCGCGCGCTAACTTTTCTTAGGACATTCAAAATGGCTGACACGACTGAGCTAGCAGGTCCAAAACCTAATCAGATCTAGAATGAAGTGAGCTGAACAAGATGTTAAAGTTTTAAAAGCAACTGTGAAGCAGTTTTTCTTAAAGTTTGCAGACAAGGATTTTAGCATTTGACTTCAAAATGGCCGACAGGAAGTAGGTTTCGAGTTAAATTTTTTTCATCCACATCTATAGGCACTCATAAGTTATCCCTGAAAATTTGAAGGTGATATCTGTAGCGGTTTTGGAGAAAACTCCCGGACGTACGGACGGACAGACAGACGGACGGACAGACGGACGGACGGACAGACGGACGCGCCTAGGCCGACAATATGGCCCCACACTATGTGGTGGGGACATAAAAATGAAAAGCCACAGATTAGAATTTTTTTCTACATTTGATGAATTATCAAGGAAATGTATAAACATACATGGTGTATAACACTAAGTTGTTTAAAACAATCAGAAATCTGACAAACCTGCAAATCTAGATGTTATAAAGATACAGTGTATAAATATGTCAATTTCCAATAATTCACCTACAGCACTTTTCAACCAAATCATAATACACTTTCAATAGATTTCTTAAGCTCATAGTACAGTTTCAAAGATGCATTGTTAAAGGCGTTGAAATATTGAATTGAAATGTTTGAATTGGTAAAAGTCTGGATTAGTCACTGGTAAAATATTTGTAGCGAAACCAACTCTCTTTCTGATGCAGCATGAATCCAGGAACTTGGATATGATTCCTATTGTATTTCAAGAAAACAAGAATTAGATTATTGGTTATTGGTCGTCAAAATGCAAACTTTTCCATCATTAACAGCCTCTAACATATTATATTAAGACCTAGACTCCCTCTTTAAACTTAGTCGAATCATCAGATTTGGCCATTTTATACTCCAGAAAACTTACACTTTCTAATTTAAATATCATTCAAAAAATATTTGTGAAAATAGAAACTGTGTTGAAAATGAAGTGAGCAACTACAAAAATTAAATATTGAATTGTTTTCTCTAAAATTTTCAACATTATTCCACTACTGCAAAATTCTGAAATTGTCATCGAAGGTGGCAGCTCAATCTGCAAATGTAATTTTTTTAGTGAAACTAAGCTCTCAAAAAACAATGACTATCAACAAATGAAGATTGAAATATGAACTTACACTTACTTAAAAACTTATGAAGGTATGTTTATCATAATTCTGTTCATAAATGAATGAATACATTAGCGGCTTCATAGCTGTCGCAAGGCTGGAATATAGAGACATATTTGGAAGAAGGTAACTCTTTCTACAGCTAAGTAGTAAAGTGGATCAGAGAGAGGGAGTAGAGTTTAATACAAGGTGATGTAATTATCAATGCTTATATTTATAACACCTACCTTTGCCCATTTTGGATTCAGCTCTCTTGCCTTAACAGCATCTTGTAGTCCTTTCTGGTAGTCGCCTACTTTAACATGTGCAGCACTTCTATTACTGTACAGTATATGGTTGATAGGGTCAAGATTGATTGCCTCAGTATAGAGAGTGATTGCATGTTTGAAGTCACCATTTTGAATTGCTTGGTTACTTTGTCGAACTTTGTCTAAGAATCGTCCTTTATTGGTTGGACTGGATAGAGGCCCAGTGTCCATATGCTGCAAATATAGGATAAGAGAAATATAATTTTGATGAAATGAGAAAAACATCACTATACTAGTAACGGTTTGTAGTATATGGTTTAATCATGGGGGTGATTTGATATTTGACATAAGGGAATGACTGAAACCCTGATATCCCTTTATTTTTCATGATGATTCAAAGTTGTAAATGGTAATACAATTGAGAAGCAGATCTAGAATCTTAATAGTTCTTACATGTAATTTTTCAGTATGCGACCTCACCTTCCTTGGGATCTCAAGAATTATTTATGTATTTTTAAACTAATTTACATAAATACAAGCTATTCTTAGATGAAAGAAAACAAATTATATAAGATACAGACTTTGTATACTCTACCAATCTTGGAAATATGAAGGGGAAACTTTGAGGACAAGAATATAGGCAGGCAGATTAGGCGCCCAAGAGCGCGCTCACTGGGTATTACAACCGTAACATAACATAACCCTTTTATACCAATCACCACAAAATGTCAATTTTAAACTCGTTTGTCATTCAGACTGTATAAAAAAAAAAAATTTTAAGTTTCAATTTTCTAATAATCTTATTAGTAAGCTTGCCACTCTAATGTATTTTGTAATTTGTTTAATTGCAATCAGATATTAATTAATTATTTTAAGTTAGGGTCGTTCAGCTTTTACTGCTGTTAGTCACAGTATTGAAAGGGTTAATGATGAACTAATAATCTTCACAATAACAGTGTATCAACCTTGGTCTAATCCAACAAAACCATATTCAACATAAATTAAATTAACACAAAAATCCCAGAATTCCCATGACCCCTCAATGCGTATCTATCATCTGATTGGATGATATTAATCATAAGATATCTAAGATTTGAATCGGGATAATGGCAGCTTTGAAATAAATCCAAGACTTTAAGTTGCATTTTTAGTTAAGTTAATCATGTTATGTTTGACTGTGTGAACTCTTTCAGAAGCCCTATCCAATAAAATGTTAACAACCCTTGCACAGAGGGCTTAATGCCCTCGCATACAGGAACAGGAGGACATCTCATCAGTTTAAAGCTATTCTCTGTACTGCTTTCCTCACCTCACTCACCTATGAAAAGTTTGAATTCAAAATCTTAACAAAATCTGATTTATCTTAACATCTATCCACATTTATGGAGATTTTAAACTTTTAAAAATAGTTTTGAACATGTAAAAGGGACTTTGATAACATGTTAAGTATTTGCAAGGAAGGATGAAATGTTTTGATAACTTCTGAAATTCAAAACTATTGTTGCAAACTATTAATGGTCCTGAATACTAGTAAAGTTGTAAAAAGATTAAACCATGCTTTAACTTATGATTTCTTTAGGCTACAGGACCACATATTACAATTCATATAATTGTCACAAGAAAATAAATTGGAAGTGATTTTTCAAACTTTGTTTTTGACACTTATGATATATATTATTTCTCATTTCATCTATTCTGATTCTCAACACATCTTCCATTTAAATTCCCATTCTGTGAAGACTATCAGAGTGACTTTCATGTTATTTCATTAAAGTTATGATAAAATAAAGACATCAAAAACCAAAATGTTTCAGCTGCATTGAACAACTTTGCGAGTATGAAAGTGTCAGGTATACTTACTGCTGTTCCATCAAAATCATTTATAAAATCCACAATCATTTTCCAATTTCAGTAACTCCTATGATATGAAAACAACTATGTACATCATTCAAACAGATGATTATGTTTAAATCAGCAGAGTCAATGAACAATGTGCAGTTGAGGGTCCTCAGAAATGTTATATACATGTACTTTGAAGTAGCATTTTGAAAAATAGTTTATTTAAACATTCCCTGTGATTGTAGTGTTTTATCTGAAAGGTCATCTTGTATATATCAACTTAATATATATGTCAACTTAAGGCTGGAAGGTACAACTGTGTACAATCTTGAAAGTTGCATTAACCAGTTTTAAATAATAATCATACTTGTGATAAAACACATAATTGTATATTATATCATAAAATATGAAACTTCAGTGATCTTATAATGATCAACTCATTTCATACTTTACTCATTAGTAGCATATCATTATGTATTGACTGATATCTAGATCCCTTTCCAAAAAGTTGTTATTTTCATGTTGTTTATTGACATTATCTTGGGTTCTACCTATGCCTTGAGGGATATTCAGTCAATTACTCTGAAGTTAGGAGGAGGGACCAGTCATAACATAACAGTCAAATATATGTACCATATATGATCTGGAGACATCAAATAGGGGTTGCGTACGTACCATATATATGATCTGGATCCAAAATATTGAGTCTAGTACATGACAAGCCTCTTCACACTTTGGGCCATTCCCATTTCCTGGCCTGTTTGCAAAACTAAAAGGAAGGCCCATTTCCTCAAAACTTGGCAGGAAAATTGATGAAAGGATATTGCATTTTGTTTTTTACATATTTTCACTATACCCCTTTGGGATTTCCAGATCAGCATTTGTAGTTAGTAATGCAACGAGTCCCTAGTATTCCTAATATGGTTACTATCTACTTCTAGCAAGGTATTCAAACTGAAATTCTAAATGTTTGACACTTTCCCTCTAGGAGACTGATGTGTTCACAGTTCCATACTTGAGAAAACACATGTTTCCAATGTCTGGCACAGCAGCAGATCATGAGGAAACTGTCATGGTAATTATTTGAAAAGTGAAAATATTATGCGAAAAATAAAACTGACAAGGAATAAATAAATAAAAACAGGTATGCAGTCAACACTTTAAATGCAAAAATATGAGGTAATTCATTGGAATTCTGGAGAAAAGACATGGAAAAGACAAATTGTAATTGGTAATTTATCATAGGGAATCACTTCTAATAGTCTATACATAAGGAGCATTTATTTTTCAATATCATCAACCTCTTAGATGAAGGTATGAAGAGAAAAATAACAAATTTGAATTTAATTTGATGAATAGGTTATTGTAACTGGTTGATTGATTGATTGACTGGTTGATTTATTGATTTTTTCTGTTTAAAATCATAAAACAAAAGGCCAAAACCTGTGAAATCTCTTCCTAAGGTTAATGTGATTTTATCCACCCAACCAACTAAACATGATCATATTAATGGTATGTGAACTATCTAAATTGTTTGCTCAAAAATTCAATTGAAGTATGAAAGTTTTGGATGGTTTCATGAGTTCATTTATTTTCCCAGAGCTTTGGAATTCAAATTGTTTGAAAACATATTTTAATAAATGAAATGTTGAATCCAAATGGATGATTAAAAATAACTAGCAAAACTGAAATGTTAATTGAATGCATTTTCAGAAAGATATTTACACTGCCAAAATAACTCCATGCTAAATCAGCGCTAATCTTTTTTCGCGCTAATTTAGCGCCAATTTGGTACGGAATTGGTACAAATAATGTTTGTGTGGAATTAGCGCTAATAAATCAGTACCAAATCAGTACAAACCTCAGTTAGTGCGAAATCAGCACTAACTTAACAGTGCTAATTCAGTGCTAAGTTAGTGCTGATTTAGCACTAACAAAACTTATATTTTTTCTGACTATTATTACAGTATTATTGATTGATTTAAGCAATATTGATATTACTTATTTAGAGTTTGAAATATTTTATTATAAATAACATTCATTATTGTGATTTCTTCATTGAGTTTGACATCTCAGGGAAATCCCTGGGAAATCCCCTTGAACTTTTGACCTATGACGTCACACATTCTATGACTCATACAGGAAGTTTGAGAAGCCACATATTTTAAATTTTGATTTCTGTGCCAGTCTCTGCCATCTGTCTGCAATTTTCACTTGTAAGTATATATTTGATTGTTTTGTTATGAATAAATGAGCATATATTAGGTGCACCTATTATATAGAAGACTTTCAAATACCAGATAGGCTCTGTGGGATAGGCTAGGGCGAAATTCAAAGATAAAAATGAATTCAGGAGGAATTGAAAAAAGAAAAGTCAAATTGAAATGAAAAGTCACTGAAAGTCTTATCTTAAAAGTCTAGGGCATAGGCTAGTTCTTTGGAGTTTTAAAAAAAATACATTTATAATCTGCAATGCATAACGTCTTCTGAATGAAGCCAGACATGGGCCAATCCTGGCCAAAATGTAATTTCTGAGTGATTTCAGTTTTTTAATTCAATTTTTTATTCTTTATAAGATCATTTTCTTTTATCGAGAATGCATTTCTAGGCTACCTTTTTATGTTATAGACTTGATGTTGGCACTATTGGTCAGATGTTGGCATATCATGAGGAGTGAAGGCAGTGAAGAATACAATACATAATCAATGGATGGAGGACCATATATCAGCAATGTGGAATGCAACATACTTATGCCATTTAGGCTAGGTGCGTAGAGTAAACGTTTCAACAGTTTTAGGAAATCTAATAATAATTTATTTTGCTTATTCAGCGTATCGTTGGAATCGTGCCCCAATGTCATATTACCATGTTCATTTCATATTACCATGTTCCCATGTTATATCACCATGTTCATTTCATATCACCATGTTCCCATGTTGTATCACCATGTTCATTTCATATCACCGTGTTCCCATGTTACATCACCATGTTCATGTCATATCACCATGCTCCCATGTTATATCACCATGTTCACTTCATATCACCATGCTCCCATGTTATATCACCATGTTCATGTTATATCACCATGTTCCCATGTTATATCACCATGTTTATTTCATATCACCATGTACCCTTTTATATCACCATGTTCATTTCATATCACCATGTTCCCATGTTATATCACCATGTTCATTTCATATTACCTGCTCCCATGTTATATCACCATTCATTTCATCATGCTACCATGTTCATAACCTTATTCATGCCCTCATGTCATATCACCAATTCAACATGTTAATAGCCTATGCTTCCTCACAGGGCTATAATAAAATTGTAAATACGTCAACCCTAACTATGACAAAATAATCTAGCATAATATTTTGGCCCTGTAAAATATTGGAAACACTTTGTGTATGCAAACTGAATTCTTTGTTCAAAGATATTATTTCGAACTTTAAATTACATTAACTATTACGGTAAGCAAATCT